CACATCCAAGAAGTTGACTGCCAGAGAAGCACTTAGAATGGGTCTCGTGGACCACTTGGCAAGTTGTACGAAGAAACATGATAAGGACAGAAACGATGGTGACAACGCGGTTTCTAACAAGGATGGGGATCACCTACGTGGGAACAACGACCATTTGGTGGCTGTCGCAATTCAACTCTCTACCTATTGGAAAACCCCACGGCATTTATCGTGCGACAATAGGAGACTCGGCAATTCTATAGTCAACCGCGCTCTGTTCCGCTGGATGCAGCGGGAGATTGACAAAAATGCTCCCAAGGGCGTTAAAGCTCCGATGCGATGCTTAGAAGCCATCCGGGCTTCCACAACCGTGGCCTCTTTTTCGGAGGGATTGCAGGTGGAAATGAAACTCTTTTTTGAGTCCTTGGAGTCTCCTGAGGCGCATGCCATGCAATATCTTTTGCGTGCAGCAAACGCTGCTTTCTGTGGCAACCTTGCCTCACTTCCGCGTGGTGCATCGGATGGATTAAATATCCGCCACTTTGCAGTGATTGGTTGTGGAACCATCGGCACGGGTGTAGTACTCCTCATGTTACGCAGTCAAATTCCGGTGACGGTTGTGGAATTGAACGAAGAGCAATGTCTTCGGGCTCGTCTTTTTGTGCAGGAGGAATTGGATCGCGAGGTGGAGAATGGTCGCCTTTTACCCGAATTGTGTGAGCAGCGTCTATCTATGTTATCGCTTGTTCCTTACCACGCAGATTTAGTCCAGGCGTTAAAAGAGGTGGACATGGTGCTGGAATGCGTCGGTGAAAATCCAGCACTGAAGAAACAAGTTTTTACCCGCCTGAGTGAAGTTTGCCCACCGCACTGCATTCTGGCAACAAGCGCCTCCACAACTAGTATTGGGGAATTGGCAAAGGTGACACGACGACCTGAAAAGGTCATTGGCTTGCATTTTATTCCCCCCTCCGATGCTACACCCCTGTTGGAGATTGTGCAAGGGTCTTGTACCGATCAGTTCACTATTCTGCAGGCTTTGCGCGTGGGCCATTTGTTTCATAAGGCCGTCATTTTAACGAGAGACGTGGGGGCGTGCTTGACGACCCGTCTTTTTTCTGCTGGCCTCTACCAGGCATTCTCTATGCTTGAGGAAGGGGCCTTTCCTGTTGAGGTTGACCGCGCGCTTCGACGGTTTGGCTTCCGTCTTGGCGTATTTGCACTGGAGGATCTCGCAGGACTTGATTTTACGGCTGAAATTCGTACACGACTGCAGAAAAATAATACCACCTTCTCTTCTCAAGCGGATGTGTACACAATACCGCGGCAGCTGGTGGAAGAAGGACGTCTTGGGCAAAAGAGAGGACTTGGTTGGTATAATTACGAGAAGGGCACTTTTTTCAATTCCATCGTCACAAAACTGCGTGGTGCAAAGCGAGCTGAAAATGAAGGCGTCGCCGCATTAGGTGTATGGCGCAAAGGTGGTGCATCACTTAAACGCGTACCGCGTCCTGACCGGGCAGTGGAGTTATTAATTCTTGACGTCTGTCGGAAAAAAGATATTTTGCGTCGGGATATCAGCGAAAGGGAAATTGTGGAGCGTATTATATTTGCCATCATTAATGAGGCCGCAAAACTACTTGGGGAAGGTGCTGTTTTAAGCTCGGCGGATGTGGATGTGGCCATGACATTTGGCTACGGCTTTCCAGCGTGGAAGGGTGGTGTCTGCTACTATGCTGACAAGTTTGGTATAGCGAACATTGTACATCGTATGCGTATTTACAATCGTGCCTTTGGCGATGCCGTCTTTCCTTTACCCTGCGACGTGTTGGCTTCAATGGTGACCTCGCAACAAACCTTCCGCTCCATGTGGCAGTAACTTTGACAAATGGGGGCGGCGCGGTTCTTCTTTTTTTTTTTTTTTTTCCTTTCACACACGAGTACAAAGGCACACTTTTTTTTCTCCGTGCGTATCTGTGCATGTGCATGTGTGTGTGTGTCCGGCGTGGCTGAAAACAGACCGGGGGGCGGGGGAGACGAAATTTGCACGTGGCGTCCTTCTTGCAATTTTTCTTCCTTCATGTGTGCGGTGAGGCTCCCGCCGCAGCCCGACCCAAATTACAGCGGCGCGTCAGGAGATCTGGAGGTGAGGGAATACACGAATAAAAACAACAACAACAACAAAGAAAAGAGGAAAAGGGGGATTTCGACGGAAAAAAGGCGACGAAAGGACGTTTAATGGAGAGGGACTGTGCGGCTATGCACCGAGCTTAAATCTTCCTTTTTCCTTTCTTCGTCTGTCTGTGTATAAATTGCTTTATCCATGCCTCGGAACCTTTTTAATTTGCTCTTTTTTTAACTTCTTTTTTTTTTTTTCGTGCGCGCTTGTCACTAAATCCTTTTCCTTGCGCTTTACGCCGCAGTACCCTAAAAAGGAAGGAGGCGCTCAACAAATAACATACACGCACAAATAGGGTAATAAAAAGAGGGAGTCAGGTGCGTTGTGCTTGTGTTTCTGAGGGTTTACGCTTGCAGGCACGTGAGGCGAGGGAAGCGAATAGACCCCCACTTTGAGGTGGTAGAAAAGGGGGTTGTTGGTGGTGTCACTCATGCTGCGCTGCTGCCTTCCACGACGTGGTATTGTGCAGACCGTGAAGAAAGACAACTACGTACTATCTCGCTTGTCGAACGGTTTGCGTGTGTTGACATGCGATGATGGAAATGGCATCACAGGCATGGGCCTTTTTATGTTAAATGGAACAAAATTTGAGGATGAGAAGAATACGGGGGCAGCGGCCGTATTTGAATCGTTGCCGCTGCGCAGTAACCAGATATTTACCGGCCGCGAGATCAGTGAGGCGCTTGGTTCACTCGGTAACGCCTTCAAGGTGACAAATAACAAGGAGGCCATGTCGGTTATGCTCATGATGCCACGATATCATCAGAAGGATGGTCTTGAGTTGCTCAACGCGATGTGCCTGCACCCGACGCGGGATGAGATGGAGTTTCAAATTGCAAAGGAGAAGACCGGTGAACGGGCGGGCCTACACCACCGCGATGCGACAAGTGTCTGCCTGGAACTTGTGCACGAGGCGGGGTGGAATGGCAGGGGCCTTGGACAACCTCTCGACCCCAAAAAGGAGGATCTTGACAAACTGACACTTGAGAAGTTTACCGCCTTTCACCGCACCTATACCCGACCCGAGCGCACCGTACTTGCTGCCACAGGGGTCGCCGATCACAAGCAATTTGCCGCTGAAGCAGAACTTATTTTGAGTTTTGACAGTGAGACGGCACCTCTTGGCGCCCCACGTAAGCATCCGTACACGGGCGGCAGTCGGCTGGTGCAGAGGACGGAGGCTCCAGAGAGCATGAACAAATTTCAAGAGAAGAATCTCAGTCATGTTGCACTCTTCTGTCAGGGTGTTCCTATGAATCACCCAGACTATTACAACATCAGTGTTATTCAAACTCTTTTGGGTGGTGGGACGTCTTTTAGCTCTGGAGGTCCTGGAAAGGGCATGCAAACAAAAATATTTCGTGAAGTGTTGAACAGGGAGGGTTTCTTGCACGGGCTGGAGTGCATTACGGCATGGTACAGTGACGGTGGTCTCATTGGACTCTATGGAAGTGCACCACATGAATACGTGTACGCACTTTTGAAGGTAATGATTTATCAAGCTGCTTCCATATGTCAGCGTGTGAGTCCTTTGCATCTTGAAATGGCAAAGAACCAGCTGCGATCGCAGCTTATTCTACTTGGTGAGGGCCGTGAGCAGCTACTCTCTGACATGGGATTCAATATGGTGGTGCATGATCATATCATTACGGCGAGCGAGACAACGGAAGGAACTAAACATATTACCATTGACGAATTAAAACGAGTCTGCGATGAAATGGTTCAGAGACCGTTAACTTTTGTTGTGTACGGCGAAACAACAAAAATGCCGTCGCATGAAAAGCTGGAGGAGACAGTACGAAAGACATATGAAAGGCTCAATTGAGACAATTTTTTTTTTATTATTATTCTCAGTGAATAACCCATCTATGCATGTGCCTCTCATTGCGTTTTGTCTTCCAATTCTCTTTTTTTTTCATCTCACTCATTTCCTCTGTGTTTTGTGCATTGGGGCTGACAAGCACACGGGTGGGTGTGAGGACGTGCACTTTAAGCGAGAAGGAAAGAGGCCGGGGTGAATGGGACGGAGTGAATGAGTGAAAACTTTACTGACCGCGTGTGTTTACACCACAGTCATTTCTTTTTTCTTCTCTCTCTCTCTCTGTGTGTGTTGGACTGGCCGGTGGGAGGGCGTTTAGGCAGTCATGAGAAAAACAAAGGCAACACCATCACAAAAAGTAGGATAAGAAAAAAGGGGACGGGCGGGAAGAATACGCGCTTCCAATTTCTTTTTTCTCTTTTTTCCTCTTCTTCTCGTTGTTGTTTTGTGTGTTGTCACTCCTCCTTTCCGTGTCTTACGGACTCCCGTCCCTGCCAAAAAAAAAAAAAGAGGGGGACTCACTGCACGGGCACAGGGCCAACGCAGAAACATCGAATCATGTGCACATGGTTTCACGAAGGGGGGAGAGAAATGGAACGCAGCCACGAGGGATTAAATTGACGAATGGAAGTCGACAAGACAAGAGAAAACAAACAAACAAGAAGAAGCGCATCATAACTTTGCCCACGCAATACCCACGGAATTGTTCTACAACGAGTGGAGCGCATTGCAGTCAATAATTGATTTTTTGTCCGAAAAAATCACGCAGCCGCTCCAATGACATCCCACGTACGGTGTTCATTTAGGCACCACAATCCACAGGGAATAACACAAGAATGAAAAAAACAACAAAAAAAGAAGGAACGTGTTTCTTCTATTTCTCTTGATATGATAATAAAAGAACACCTTTCCCTTTTCTGTGCCCACTCAACAATATAAGTTATTTCATAACCACCGTTTCTCCGCTTTACTTCTCCAACCTGCTTTAGATAAGCATAACACAATAAGGCAAATAAAATTATAATGATGAAGTGCCGTCTGCTATGCGTCCTGCTGGTGCTCGCCGTGTGCTGCTGCCCGTCCGTATGTGTGACAGCGAGTGGTAAGAACGCTTCTACCACCACCACGACTACAACGACCACCACGACTACTACTACTACTACGACGACAACAACAACAACAACAACAACAACAACAACTACGACCACGACGACCACTACACAAGCACCAACTACGACCACGACTACCACGGAGGCGCCAAGCATTACGACTACAGAGGCGCCAACTACGAGGACCACCCGCGCACCGTCACGTCTTCGCAAAATTGACGGCAGTCCCAGCAGCCCTGCGTGGGTTTATGCCCCGCTGGTGCTTGCTGTGTCCGTGCTGGCTTACAGCAGTCTGTGCTGAGGGGAATTGTGTGATGTGAGTGCCGGCACTCAACTGCAGTGATTTGTGCTCCTCTTTATTAATCCGACATAACACGTAATATAAAATAATGATTGTTTTTTGCTTTTTTTGCTTCTGCTGCCGTGCTGCGTGCTCAGCGTTGTTCCCACATCCGTCACGTTGGACGCATCCGACACACTCATATGCATGCGCACTTGGGCCTTGTGTGTGTTTTTCTTTTAATCTGTTTTTTTCATTTATTGCTTAACTCTTGTTTTGCGGGACTGTGTGGGTGTTTTGGTTTGGTACTGATTCCATCCGCGTAATGTTTTGTGCGCTGCTGCTGCTGCTGCCGTTTGTTTTTGTGTGGTGGCTGTGTGTGGTGAAGCGGCCTTGCTTCTTTTTGCCCTCCCATGCTCTTGCAGGGCAGCTCCACAGTGTTAGGTGGCTCTACTGGATGTGATGATGGCTAGCCGTGTGGTGCTGTTGTGCGGTGCGGCCGTGACGGTGGCTGCTCGTGGCACGAGCACTGCACTGAGAGTGGGGGAAGCGAAATGATGGCCATGAGCAAGGGGGAGAGTGACGGCGAGTTTCTGAAGGCGGACTGGAGGTTGATTGCACCGCTGAGATTACTAGGGACCGTTGTTTCTGCGGAGGCGAAGAATGACGAGGAAAGGGACGGCTGCGGGGGGAAGGAGGGGGCTTTCAGGGATATTTGTGGGAAACCACTGTCGAGTGCATCATTGGACGTGTTGGGGGTGGGTGTCAGGGGCGACGCAGACTCGCACCTTCCGCCTCGAGCTCTATCAGCCGGCGGCAGCAGTCCTCCTACCGGGTGGGTAATGCTGACGACCGTGGTCACACATCCTCAGGTGTCCCTGGGGACTCAGCGCATTCTACTGATGGCCGCAGGGACGAGGCGGGGGAAGCTGGGGGCGTAGCAACCGCCCGGGAACTCACTCAGCAGCAAAAACGGGTGCTGGCGCCAGGAGGAGGAGGAGGCGGAGCACCAGCTTCTTCAGGTCCCCCATAGATCAGGGGGTCGAGGTGCAGCTGCGGCACAAGGACACTCATCAGGGAATCAGGGAGCATCGCTCGGCACCCAGCAGCAGGTGTCGGAGCTGCGTCCACCATCACTGGATGAAAAGCAGAGCGGGGGCCCAACCGAATGTCCACCAAAGCCATAGGAAGCTGCAACCCCTCTGGTACCGCGCGGCATACTGACTCCGAAGGTCCAGGTCAAATGTCCCAGTCATCTCCCGGTCGAAGTGAAGATGATACAGTCGCCCATCGAGGTGGGCCGTGCCCCGAGAAGGTTACCGTCAACACTCAACTGGCTGATGCTGCAACGGCGGAAGAGGAACGCCGACGTGAGAACACCGATGCTACTCGAAAGACGTTCATGGAGGTTTCGGGACAGCACCGGCGACCACCACCAGAGCAAATGTTGCGGCAGCTACTGGCGACGGTGACGGCAGCACCGCGGTCTCCCAGTCCACTCCCTCACTTTGCTTCTTGTCTGTGCTGCTGCTGCCGCGATGGTGACTGCGCTTGCATGAAGTGGCGTGTGCTGAGGGCGAGAGAAGGCCAGAGGAAACTACATTGTCCTTTTGATGAATATTGCCTGCAATTACCGCGGAACATGAATTCTCGTGGTGTGCGGGGATTGCTTTTTTCTTGTTTCATTGCTTTTTTGTTGCTGTGGGCGCCGCGCCTCCACTTTTGCGTGAAGGCCGTCTGTGAGAGGTGCGGACACGACAGACGCTCTCGCCATGTGCAGTACATGTGGTGGGGCCTTGTGTGCCGCCCTTGCTGGTCTCTCCCTCCTCCATCTGTGTGCTGTTCTCGCTGCATGACTGTGTGTGTTTGCGTGTGCCTGTTGCCGCGGATTGGAGTGTGTGTCGTGCGTGGTGTGCGGCGTACGGTGCACGCCTGGCTGCTGCTTTCTCGTCTTGTTTGGTATGCCCTCTGTGTGCGTCTGCCGCACCTCTCTTCTCTGTTGCTCTCCATTTTCCTCACTGTGCAGATCAGCCCCACACCACTGAACGACCACACTCACGATGATGATGACGTGCCGTCTGCTATGCGTCCTGTTGGTGCTCGCCGTGTGCTGCTGCCCGTCCGTGAGCGTGACAGCGAGTGGTGAGAACGCTTCTACCACCACCACGACCACCACGACTACTACTACTACTACTACGACGACAACAACAACAACAACAACAACAACAACTACGACCACGACGACCACTACACAAGCACCAACTACGACCACGACTACCACGGAGGCGCCAAGCATTACGACTACAGAGGCGCCAACTACGAGGACCACCCGCGCACCGTCACGTCTTCGCAAAATTGACGGCAGTCCCAGCAGCCCTGCGTGGGTTTATGCCCCGCTGGTGCTTGCTGTGTCCGTGCTGGCTTACAGCAGTCTGTGCTGAGGGGAATTGTGTGATGTGAGTGCCGGCACTCAAATGCAGTGATTTGTGCTCCTCTTTATTAATCCGACATAACACGTAATATAAAATA